ATGGTTATATAATTAAATTTTAGTTAAGTAAAACTTACTAAAGATGCATTAAATTTTAGTTTTCTATAATGTTTGTAGGCATCTAACTGTGTTATATATATATATATATATATATATATATTTTTTTTTTTTTTTTCTATGGGTGTCATGGCATATACTCATGACTGCCAATCAAATATGTAGAATTATAAAGAAAATTATTTCTAGAAGCATCATAAGCTGAGCTATGATTTGACTGGTTGAAATCACACACACACACACACACACACACACACACACATATATAACTTATACCTTACAAGGAATATTGACAAATGGTGAACTATCTCAGCTTTGAAAATAGATACAATCTCCAGCCAAAAAAAAAGAACATTGTTAAAGGAGAGAAAGTAATCTTCAAAATGATGCCAACAACTTGCTAATATAACAAAAGGTTATAAAATGATGTATAAACATAAGGGAAAATTTTATTGATAGTAGAATATACTACATGTTTCAACAGAACTTTGGTCTATCTTCTTCAGGTATGACCAGTACTAAACAATATTGGGTTTATGTATTATTACAAAGGCAAAAGACGCAAAGATTAAATGTGATGGAAATTGTCAGCAGGTGACAGGATATAGGTAAAGGTCAAGTGTATGAACAGTGAATAGACCTTGCCAGATACAGCTGTTGCAAGGGCCATTATCACGGTTTAGTGAGAGATCGTTTGCTTTGATGATTTCTATAATTTTTAAACAGCTTCTTTTTTTTTTTTAATTTTGGGTTGGTGAAGAATTTAATCCCAAAGTATTTTGTGGCCTGATTTGTATTGATGATATGTTAAAGTAGATATCTGGAATTCACCTCTATGTGACTTTAGTGTTCTTTGCATCTTATGTCTAAGGAACATGATGTTTATCGTGTGTATTTCATTCCACAATCACATACGATACTATATATACACGTGGTTCTGAAGAAGACAGATCAAAGTTCTGTTGAAACATGTAGTATGTTCCACCATCAATAAAATTCTTCCTCATGCTTATAAATCATTGTTTGCCAACCAATTATCACACTTTATGCCACTTTTATACTTTTACAAGTTTTGAAGTAGTAGTCCACACTTGAAGATTGAACACAGTGCTTTTTTAATTAGTTAGAGGCCTAGGAATTTTTTTTATAGTTTCTGATGATATTTCTGAAGTTCTTGATGTAGGATTTGTATTATGGTATTGCTGTTAGAAAGCTACAGAAATGAAACTTTGTGGAATGGACGGCAGCTGCCTGTTGTAGAGACACAAGTGTAGAGGACGAATATAAATTCATGAAATAGTAGTTCAATCAAATTTTGAATGTGAGTCAACAAATGAGATGACATGGCCTTTCACCCGTGAATCGTCTCAAAAGGATTAATAAATTATCTTCTTCAATTTTGCTTGGTCAGGTTATACACTTTATCTGGCTAGTTTTGTTTGCGTTTGATGATCCCTTTTTTATTTTTTATGTCTCCCCACATTGTGTTTGTCATATCAGGCTTCTCTTTCTTCTAGCCATCAAGGACCTCTGTATGAAATCTTGCAGGTGGGAATGAAGATGACTTTATTTATGCCACAGGGAGATTTCCCCTTCTTTGGCTTTTGTCTTCCTCAGTTCCCATTCTTCTTTCTTCACAGTAGCCTTGATGTTGAGTTGTTTATTTTTCTCCTTTGATTTTCAGGTCTCACAACTGCCTTTATAAAAAAAATATATATACATATATATATCATGGAGATGATGGAACCAACTGAGTGGCTGGTGTTGCCTCACTGGGGATAAATAACCCCAAATCCACATTAAGTGGAGAAGTATGGAAAATGTTAAATCCATCCACCTGTGCTTAGTGTCTGCTGTTGAGATGGGGCTTTCTACAAGACTGCTTTGGTTGTGTCTATATATATTTTATCTTCCAGGTTGTTCAGTATCTGTAAAAAAAAAAAAGTGACAGCACCAATTATGTGCCACCCCTCACATCTGACTCACACTTTATGTCTTGGTAACCCATTGCACTGTCTCACAGTGTCATGCCTAATTCCAGATAATATTGCCTGATGACATAGTCCAAGCATTTCTCCATTTTTCTCCCCCACATGGATTCCTACCCCCCTCATTTTTTCTAGTTTAGTATGAGAAAACCCTTGCTTAACCAATCCTAAGCCACTGGGGAAAACAATAAGTAGAGTTCCTCTTTAGTCTTTATAATCCCACTGGTACGAGACCGAGTAAATTCACTCTTTGAAGTAGGGCTAGGGTGTTACCTGGTAGTGTAGTTCATTATGAACCAAGCCATTCCTGGTGATTGGGTCCTGCCTGATGAGTTTTAGGCTTGCCTAAAGACACAAGTCTAGAATGCTTCTTCCTGCACCTGATTATTATGGTATCTCCTGAAAGTATTTCTAATAATTCTAGCCACACTACACATTCATGGCCAGTTGCCTGTCTCTGAAATAATGGCCTATTGAGCAACATTACATTCTGCCTATCCTAGCTACACTTAAGCACCATGTAAAATATTTTTTTTGATACTTTCAATAACATTGGGCAAAAAGTATTTCCTGTTGCTGTCTCCTGCTGAAGGCTGCCCCATTAAGCTACCTCCCACTTTTAATGGTTGGAGACGGTTTGAATGGGTAATGAAGAAAAACTTTAATATAAGTTTAATATAACAGCAAATGTACAACGTTTCGACAAGGTTTTGTCATCATGAGATGGGGTGTTACACAAAATTGCTCAAAGGCTTTCCTTGTGATATATTTGCTTCATTCATATGCCCATTCTGGACTGTACTAACCCATGGACTTCATGGATAAAGCAGAAGGGGATAGCTGCCTATTCCTGCCATTCCTTATACTGAATAAATCAGGAGTGGTCTACTTTTCAAAATTGGGTTTTTCGTGGTATCTCTTTGCACTGTCTCCAGTGTTGACGTTCTATCAAAATCTCCACTTCATTTTCTCCCTTCTTTTTCTTCCAGTGGAATATGGGAGTCCTTACCACTTTTCATCTCTGAGCTGCTGGGGTGGTGGACTATGGAGGCATCCTCCTGAATGTGATAATGATATATGATACAAATAATGATAAAACCATTCAGTTGAGAGTAAGGTGGTGGGGTTTTGCTGGTGTAGATGATGAGATGGATTCTAGCTATTTATGTGAGAAGAGGTAATGTACTGTATTGGAAGTTTTAATTTTCCTATACTGAAAATGTATTTCTGATAGATACTTACCTCCTCTCACAATTCCCACCCTTCTTCTCCAACTGGTGCTCCCATTTTCTGCTAAAACTTGTTGTGATAGTTTTGTTGAATCGAATAGAGGGAGTCACATGTGTCAGGAGGGTGTGTTGCACTTCTGTTGGTGAGAGGTTTTCACATGATGACTTGAACAACGTTGATCTTAGGGTATGTGGCAGCTCAATGCTTGTGGCGTGTGAAAAACAATTTGCATATAGAGGACAGTACTGAACGAAAATAACTATTTATGTGAGAGGAGGTAAGTACCAATAAGAAATACATTTTTAGTATAGGAATATTATAACTTTAAGATGGGTAATCATCTCTCTGTTCAACCTCCCATTCTTTCTCTCTATTTCTAGTGCATTTAGTTTACTTCATCAAGAATGAGCCTGTTTTCAAATGCTAGTGCTCATGGGTATTACTGCATATGAAGGATATGTCACCCTCTTGTTAGTGGGCTATTATAGTCTAGTGATGATTGCTTTATAGGCTGGTGCCTTACATGTTGATACATGTAAGATGGGAGCATTGTTCAGGGCTTGTGTGGCACATGCAGTAATTTACACAGTAGTGTGTGCAAGGTAATAGCTCTTTGTGGTGCAGCGAGGTATCTATCTGAAATACATTTTTGAGTACAAAATATGTTAACTTTTAATCAATAAAAGAAAATTGGTTCAACTGGTTTCTTACCTTTTACAGTAGTTTACATTGTGCATTTTTTATAGTTTTATTGGAATGAAAGCAAATAAAATTTTTAGTTTTATTGAAAAAGTGTAATTAAATACCTTTACAAGAGTTTAGGCTGATAAAACAAAAAATATGAAGTCTAATATAAAAGGAAGTGTTTTATAGTTTTTTAAAACTGTGTTTTGCAAGGAACTTTTATAAAGTTCAGAAGCTAAAAATTGGCTCAAATACTAAACAAAATTATACTTTTTTTTATACAGATATATGATATTACAAAGTTTGTGTTCCAAATCTCAAACAATTTGTTTAATTTTGTTTTTTATATATATATATATATATATTACAAGATGTGTCAAATCTATGAACCCTGAGTTCACTGTTAATAAAGTCGTATTGGCTACTAGGAAACATTCTCTTTTAATGTGATAAGACCAAATGCCATGGAAAATCATTTACAGTCCTTTGCTGCATTGAATATACATTTAGTCCTGATCTTTTGCCTTTTTATTTTGGATCTTACAAGGTTGGTCTGTTCAGAAAATACTTCCAGATAAATGATTAACATAAAGTAGCTGTATGTAATTAGATTTTTTAATACTCTATGTATTTTACCAAACTAGTGCAATTGATATGATGATCCTCAAATAGTGATATAGGAAATTCATCTTTCTTAGCAGAAACCTGATCAGTCTGACTACTCACACTATTGTACATTTGTTGGCTGTAATCTGTTATGGTTGAACTATATGAAATTAAATTCCATTTCTTTCTTAAAGTCCCCCTGTATGTGTTTTAGATATATATATATATATATATATATATAATACTGTATTCTTTACATGGAATTTGAAAATTTTAGGAGTTCTAGTGTTTTTTTATGCTTTTAAAACTTGATTGTATACATACACAAACACACACATATATATATGTTATGTGTAGGTTTTAAAAATCATAATCCTCCTTTTTTTTAAGTAATGATTATTGGTTCCATATTTTATGCCAAGTTTCCCATAACATTTGAATATTGTTAATGTTTATGCTCCTTAGGTCTTGGATTGGACCAGTTCAAGAGACTGGATATGAAGGTTAGTTTGTAAAATAAAATTATTTATTTCTCAAAAAGTGTTTGTACTGAAGTTTCAAAAATTAGACAGTTCTTTAAATTTCAAGTTACTGCATAATTTATGTTAATATTTATGTGTAAAACTTAGATGTTTAATTGGCTCTAAATAAACACAAATTTAAATAAGTTTGTAATTGGTAAAATACAATACAGTACCACCCATGAATAGTAATAGTTAAATAATGAATATTTATGTGTCACTCCTTTTTTTTTAATTGTGGAGAATAATGTGGTTACAGAAGAATTTTAGCAACCAACATGTGATTGATATTATTTTAACTGTATAGTTGTTTCTCTGTCTTAGTAAATGATGATTTTACATCACACTGTGATTATTTTATCTAAAATATATTTAATTTGAGGATATTATAGCTTGATAAAGTGGAATCCTGTATATAGTTTTAAATATTATTTTTTGTTTTTCTTGATTGCAACTTTTAATAATATAAAAACAGGCCTCTAATTGCAGCACCTTTCCTTCCAGCCACATATTACCAAGTTAAGCTTTTATAATTTTTATCTGACCTATACATAAATCCACATTAAATCCAAAATCTTTTTGGCTTTTATAGTTAAAAAGAATGGAAAAGGAACTTTTATGATATTTTTAGATCAATATCCAATGACTTCTTGAAGTTGAAATTTAGGCAATTACATTACACCTTGATGACAGAGATTGAAAAACAGTGATCTAAAAATAGATAAACTACACTTCTATTCAAGCAACAAGGAAAAATTAGCACTTTTTTGTTCAAAATTATAACTTCCACCTAGATTTTCAGAAAATACTTAGGAAGTTCACAAATACTAATGATTTAATAGGGAACATGATGAAATCAACCCAAAATCAAAATTTGTGATTTGTTTTAAACATAAAATAACTTATTCTAAAGAACAAATATCAACTAGAATGCATTTTATTTTTTTATGTGTGGGAATACAATTACAACTTTATTTTCTATAAGTTATTTAATTCAATAGTACAATTTTGCCCTCAAGGCAGACTGTACCAATCTGGGCATGAAAGAGTTAAATAACATTCAACTACAGCAGAGAAAATTAAGTCCTCTGTCCAACTACTTACTCGGACATGTGAATTACCAGTAGACAAACAACATTTTAAGATTATGGGATATAGTTCCAATGACAAAACACTTCAGATCAAGGAATCTTTATATACTAAATTACTTCAATTTGGCCTGAACATACTAAGTTTCCTCTTTGTTGATTTATACAGTCATCAACAAACAATCACTCAACAAAAGATTTAAAACCTGGTTGTAAGAAAAGTACTTCAGGTTATAATATTTTTCAATCTCTGTCATCAAGGTGTAATGTAATTGCCTAAATTTCAACTTCAAGAAGTTATTGGCTGTTAATCTAAAAATATCATGAAAGCTCCTTCTCCATTCATTTTAACTATAAAAACCAAAAAAGATTTTCGTTTTAACGTGGATTTATGTAGAGGTCAGAAAAAAATGATAAAAGCTTAGCTTGGTAATATATGGCTAGAAGGAAAGGTGCTTATGAACAACTTTTGCAGCAATTAGAGGTCTAATTATGTTTTTAAGGCTTGTGAAAAGTATGATTTATCATTTTATACTTTATTTGAATCATGATGTTGAAATATGATGGGAAAAAGAAATGTTTTTCTGAAACAATGTGAGGTTGGCTTATTTTGATAATTTTGCACTTGATGATATCAAGTTTCAGTTTGCTGTGTTAGGCCTTGTTTGCATTAGACCATATAAGCTTAAGTAACTGCTTAAATTGGCAAATAAAATCACCAGAAATAAATGTTGAAAAAAAGATTTAAATTAATATAAAATTGGTTTAAAACTTATTACATATATTAAATTAAACTTTGCAATTAACAATTTAAAAAAGTCAACTTGCATGTAATTTCGGTATGGTAAAATAGTTATTTTTTATTGTACACCAGTGATCGTGAGCACACCTAAACTGTGTGCATTGTTTTTTCAAAATAAAACAAAAAATATAATATACAGTTTTTGTAAAATGAAAATTTCTTGGGAAAATTTAAAAGAATGTAGGAAGACAAAAAAAATTAGTAATTAAAATCTACAACAAAGGTAAGCATTTTTAATTGTTTCTTAAGAGCATACCACAAGTAATTTATTTTAAATTCAGAGCTTTAAATTCATACAAATGTATAATAAAATATGATTTCTATTTACAGAAGCTACTTAAACTGTAGAAAGTAATTATAAAGTTTCAAACTATTTCTTATATAGTTTTTTTAATACGATAAGAAAAAACATACAATGGGTAAGTTGAATCAGCACTGAGTCTTGTAGAGTTAATGTGTTTTCAAAGGTTCTTGCAGTTGAATTTGTATCACTGAGCACAGTAGTGCTTAGTATATATAGGGATGGGCTAGGAGAAAAATGGCCATTGCATATTATATATTGCTCATCGCAGTCTCAAATCTCTCTTATAACAATGTAAGAGGTTTTTATAAACATCTAATTTACATTTTCGAGGTTTTCCAAAGCTATTAAAACCTTCAGTTTAACCAAAAAAACATTGCTAAAGTAGAGAACCTGCAAGTAGCATAACAGCCAAATGTTCTGCTGATTGTTTTGATTCTGGTGTCAGAAGGGCTAGCTCACCAATGCTTAAAACTGTTGCATTTTAACATGGGGAGTGCAGAAGAAGTATAGCATTTCACTAACTTAAACACATGATGTCCATCAAGACAACTCATCATGCTTGGCTAAAACTACTGCTTTCATAGTGACTGCTACTCATTAAAAAAGATAGGAAATAAGTAATAAAAAAAATCTGAAAAAAATAAGGATGATGTCGGGATGACAATGCCAAAAAGTACAGAAACAATGTAGAGATGAATACACAAAACCATATAAAAAATTCCTACATAAGTAGCCACTGAGTCAATATTACAAACTTATGTGAATTAGCCATTGTAAGACTTTATAGCATTATTCAGTTTAAATGCTTTTATTCAAACCTGAATTCATGCAAATGAAAGGAATTCAATATTTAGTTGTAGATAAAAGCTTTTCTTTAAAATATGTGGCTACTTATGTATGGATTTTTGTATAGTTTTGTGTATTCACTCCAACCTGTACTTTTTGGCATTGCCATTCTTACATCGTCTTTTTTTTTATTACTTGTATATTAAACCTCATTCACACTGAATACGATTTATAAGTTAACATAATATGTAATTGCTTTAGAGCAAGAATTTTTGTCTTTACTTCTAAAAAAACATAATTCTTATTTTTGGTTTATAAATAATTCTCACGTCAACCTGTTGTAATATTTTCATTTAATTTTCTTATGTTTTCCTTCAAGCTACTAGTGTGTCTGGCTGGATAAGGTAGAATGAGGGTCAACAGATAATGTGGTATATCACAAATGACATCATTGGAGTGTAATTTTTCTCACTAATTCCCCTTTGCTCTGTTTATAACTTTCAATGGAAAGCTATTCTTAAGTAACACTTAATTTTCTTTAGTTCATTTTCACAATACGTAACATTGGTACACGACTGAAAAATCCTATGGATTAACATGTAATCTAAGTTCTTTTAAAAGCTATTTGGAACAAAAATTTCAAACTCGGTATATAAACTGGTAAAAGTATTTTACTGAGAAAACACTTCGAATCAAAAAATTCTTTGTATATTAAACTACTTCAGCCAGGTCTGAACATTAATCAGTGTGTTTCACTATTAAGGCTGAAAACATGGGTTTTTATTGTCATGTTTGTTATGTTAAAGTTAATCATTATCTTTCTGTATTTATTAATGTAAAGACATAATTATTCTTGTGTCTGTTGAAATTCATTGATAATATGATAAAGAAAAAACTTTAGAGGTAGGGGAGTTATAGAAGAAATCAGTAAAACTAACTGCTCTTTTTTAATTATCGTTGGAAAGTTTCAAATTATGTTTGAACTATCTTTTAACTTTTTTGTTTGGTAGATAATTTTGTTTGTGAAGCATCTGTAAATAAGTTGTATTGTTAGACAATTCCCATATGATTGTCATGTATCTTAAGGTTCTCAATCCAGTATTAAAACTGCTGTCAAAATGATACATCTATTTTTGTTTCAGGATCAAGATAAATAGGTACTATTCGATATTCTAATAGTTTCTTAATAATGATATTAAGTGTATTAAGAACTATAAAGACAAATTTATATGTAAAAGATATGTGTTGTTACTTACCCTTGATTTAGCTTTAACTCGTGGTAGACCAAATACAGACCCTAAATCGTCATTATTAAGTCTTAATAATTTATTTGCTAGTTGTTTCTTATAAGCGTATGCTACATTCAGATATACACATTTCTACAAAGGTGATATAAATGCTAATTACCAGTGTACATGGAATGGAAGTGTTTAGAATAGTTAATGTTTATATACACTTTCTAATTTACGAAAATAATTCATTTTGGAATTTTAATCATCATTAAAGAAGAGGAAGAAGAGGTGTGCTTTGAAGAAGGCTGTGTAGGATTTATTTAATATATTAGATTAGTTTCATGTCTCATTAACTTTAAGGTTTGTTGATGCATTATTGAAGAACCTATATTTCATCACTTTTTTGCTTCATAAAGTATAGACATATACATATTGTTAGAATGGTAATTAAGAAAGTTATAATAAATTGTTGTACCGTACCAAAGAATAATAAGAGCTACATAGTTAATCATTAAACCATACTGTTTAATATTAATCATATTTAAATAAAATGTTATATTTAATTTATGTTCATAACAGATGCTCTAACTTGCTGCCATGTTCCTTTGTCAGTTTAGTTATTAAATATATAGCTTGTAGCAAAAAAATAAATATTATAGTTTTTAAATTAATTACTGCATGAAAGCAAACAGAAAATTTGTCTCTCAATGAAATACTGTGGCTTATAACTATTTCTTACTCGAATGTGAGCTATACTAATTATGTTTTTGGTTGCCAAAGTTATTTTTTTTATATATGTTTTTTTGTATCTAGATCCTGTGCATGTATGAGACTCAAAGAATAGTTTGTAACATTATTACCTTGAATTCATCATTTTCTAAGAGAAAGTCGATATTAGGTGTTGTGCAAGATTTGTTGCTAATTTTCTCAACCTATTTCTATAAAAATATAGAATGTTAAAAGGCTTACCTTGTATGTTTTGGCTCAGTAGTGTTATAGAATTTTAGTGGTAAAATTAACGTAGTAAGTCATTTTGTGCCAAAGCCACGAGAGAGAAATATCCAGGAAATTGAAGTAATTATGAAACAAATTCACAAATTTATCCTATAATTGATAAATATTGGTGAATATGGGAATTTTACGTACAATCTTATACCAAATTATTTTATGACTTGTGTGGCTGACAGATAACATGAATATGGTTTCTGTTGTGAAGAAGGAAAATTGACTTAGCTTAGGTTTTTCAGTCAGATAGATAATTGAGTATTCAAGAAGCATATCATTTTGCCAATTTAATCTAATTGCCGGACTATTTAATGAACAGTTTCAAATTACCTGATATAGAAAGTTGTTAAGTGTTTTATTTATGTAATTATAAATCAGCAGGTAATATCTTAGTTGACCAATGTAATCCAAAAACTGTTTGCTTAGACCTGATGCTAATGAATTCACCCAGTCAACTAATTAACTTGTTTGTCAAAGATGCATTTCCTTACTAATTAACCTTTATCTGTCCATGTGTGTTTTCCTTCCCAATGTCAGACTGACTGCCTTCACTCTGAAGATTTCCGACTGCAGGTTGAGGCCCATGATGTGAGCAAATTACGTATTGTTTTCAGATCCTTCTTCTCTGAATGTTTGTATTTGTTTGTTGAAATATTAATATTATCATTCATTGTCTCATAAAGTGTTGAACCTTATGTAAAGGTTTTCTTTTCTTTAGTTGTAAAACATAAAATTTTTCATTCTGGTTTGTAAGGTTTTGTAACTTGTCTGGATGAAATCCTTAAACTTTCTGGATTACTTACAACGTTATAAGCCTGTATACTCATGGGTTTGAAATTTTGTTTTCATTAGATATGGTCAATTATCAAGCTTACATTGTTCTGACATCATAAAAATTAAAGGAACATTCTAAAGATTTAATGTTCCTGACATTAGTAAATATATTTGGTATGGTAAGTGATTTGAGTGAAAACATTGTTTAGAATGAAAGTAATTACTGTTCTTTACAAAATCAATCAACAGTGTCAAATTATATGTTTTCAGTGCAGTCTTTAGCAGTTTTTCATGTCAGAAGTATTTTATATTTATTAGTTTGAAACCATGGATTTACTTTAAGTTTCAAAAACGTCCCCCCCTCTTTTTAACTGCCTGACTGCAAAATAATATGATATTTGTTTATAATTTGTTATGATCGGAGCAGTTGTATTACATTATCTACTAAGAATTTTTAATTTCTGTTTTACATAAAAGAAAAAGTAAAGACTATTCATTTCTTGATTGTATTTTATCTTGCAGGAAGTGAACACCCCCTCAAATTTAGGCCTAACTGAAGAGAGCATTTTCTACAAAATTGGAGCCTCTGGTTTAATTAACTTTTCAGATTATATTTTTTTGTTAACAATTCTTTCAGGTAAACACAATATGATTTTTTTAAATAAATGAGTAAGTGTTATACGGATGAGAAAAAATATTTGTAAGAAAAATCTTTCTTGATGAACTACTGAAACATTCAATGAATCGAGTGCAAAGAAAAAAAGCAACTTTTATGCTTACTAATGAACCAAAACATTCCTTTTGTGAATTAACATAAAAATCTTCTTCATTTATAAATAAAATATATATTTTGTTATATAATTCATAAATTAAAAGTTCCTAATGTTTTCAAAATTATACCATTATTTGTTAATGCTGGTTATTCCTTAGTGTTATTTTTGAGACATCAAACTTAATAGGAAAAACTACAATTTTTTTACAATAACTGGACACACCCAAGGAAAATAAACATGAGTATTGAACTTAACAATGTTTGGACTACTGTTATATATTATTAAATAGGTACTTAGTTTATGTAAAAACTAAAGCATGATTATGCTATCCTACTTTGTTTTATCAAAGCAAACTTTAAAACAGTGGTAAAGGGGTATGTCACTTTCAGCTGTTTATCAAGTATATTTTGAAATAATAAGCTTCGAATAAAGAATATTAATGTATGTACTAGTTAATGGAATAAAATATCAAGGGTGGACATTGAATTACTCTTTTGATTTATCTGTGTATTACTTGTAAATTGTAACCAGTTGGAACCAGTTGATATTGTGAAGAACATATTTAGCTAAAACTTCTGGTTAATATTTTAGGATCTTTAAATATACTGTATACTGAAGTGTTGCACATGTTACTAAAACACATAAGTTTGAAAATTGGTATCACAAAAAGCATACAACATTGGAGTGCTATTACTGTTGTGTTTTATTTTTTAACGTCATATGTTTTGATTGTTTAAATTTCACTTCTTAGCCTCTAAATACTGAAGTTACTGTTTCTATTTAATTCAGAGAAACTCTAAATATAGTTTCTGGATGGATACCAATTTTCTACTGGTATGTTTTATTGTGATAAATATTCTTTTCATATGAGATATACATTGCTCATAATAGGATAATCTAAAGATACTATGAGGACAGCAGATCTTTCAGTTTGGCAAAAAAATGATTTTGAAACCTTTGACAATTCTGCTAATTGTGTTAGTATGTTTTTCTGTATGTGCTATGTAAAATTATGTGGAAAGCAGTACATTGTAAAATTGTTATTCAAGATAAACATATAATATTGGAAATAATTATGGAAACAGTGGATCAAAAGGATACAAAATGCAAACAATATGGAAATGCTACCCATTTATCATGTGAACCTAAACTGCACCAGAGTACAGTCATGTGTTAATGGTTTACATTGTGATTGGTTGTCCACTAACTAATCAGAAAGTTACACAACAGAATAAAATTTATACAAGTATGGGCAATCACACTATGCTCAATAGTAATAATATGAATCCAATCACGACTTCCAGGAATGAAATATTGCATGATGCGTGTATAAATCAAACTTTGACTGTTAAATATAGAAGTGGTAAAAGCAGAAAACTAACTCTCTAAAAGTGATGTTAAGCATCTCAAGGTATGTTCTTTAATAAGAGAAATAGATGATGGTTGATTTCATACCTTGCTGTAACTACTTATGTGAGTGTTACCTCAAGAACAGTAATAAAAACATTAGCAAAAAATCAGGTAGCTGGACATGTAGCTGCTCCAAAACTGCTGCTCAGAAGAAGTAATTAAACCAAAAGTTTTCAGACCACAAAGGGTGGAATGATCAAAGCTGGAGGAATGTCATTCTTATAGATAAATCCAAGTTCAAATTGTTTGACAACAGGAAACAAAAGCTTGTTAAATGGTGGTGAGGAAAACAGTACTATATTCAAGTTACAACATCTACCAAGGAGCAGTGTGATGAGATCAGTACGAGTTTGTTCTGCATCTTGTCACATGGTGTTGGTGATCCACCAGAATTGATGGCACCTGAATCCTGATAACTCTGTACAAGTTCTGATCCATCATGCTCTGGAAAGGAACACAGTATACTTTCTAACCAGACAATGATCCCAAACATGCACAAAATGTGGTGAAATGATATATTTATGGGAGAAAGGCTGGTGGGACACTCACCTTAATGGCTTGGCCTTCACAATGTCCAATTGCGAACATCTTTGAAATTGTGTGATGTTACATAAAAACTGAGAAGTTCAAAATCAGGGTTTGCAGTTGGTACTGGTGGTACTCGGCATCCAGTTCTGATACCAGGCCATCTGTACTGGAAGTACAGGTACTGGTTTATAGTATATCATACGTGGAGAATAATATCTGTTATCACATGTCCCATCTTTGGAGTTTTGTCTGAATGCCTCCTCTGGTATTTCAGCTTTGATTTTCACAGAATTATAAATGTTTTATGTGGTAGTTTTGAGTTCATACTTCAGTCAATAGGTGAATCTCACTGTGAAAATCAGCAATAGCAGGAAACTGGTGACTCCCACACTCTGGAAGAGAACATGAGTGTGCCTTCATGATTGATTTCACATTAGGTAGGTGCATGCTTGATTAACCCTTTGCATGCAGGCAGATCAAATTGTGCATATCATGATGTTTTAGTGAGTTACATTCAAAATTTAATTAAACTATTTAATCATCATGGTATACAAACAAACTTAACATCAAACTATAGATAATAAATCAAATAATAATATTATATAAGTTTTAAGTTTTTAATTGTATAAGGAAATATTTAAAAACAACCTTAAATTCCCCTAGTGTGAGAATTTGGATATTTGTTCTTGAGCGTCTCCTCTTATGGATTTTTTTGTCCACGCCCTAGGAAACTACGAAATGTCATGTAAAATATTCTCTATAATTTTGTCATCAATATTCTGAAGTTATATTTTTATATATACTTCAATCTTATGGGGCTAAAAATGAAAATTCAGAAACCACTTTTCATGCCTACCTCTAGCATGCTCTAGTTTACAATTTGCTAATAGATGTTTGAGCCCGACTCCCATAAATTTTATAACCAATAGAAAGCCTAGAATTCGACTGATTCATTGCCATAGTTGTCATACCACGTTAGCTTACAGATAATTGACAGTTTGGTTTGATGTGAAAAAAATTTTCCCATGAGAACAAACTGGGAAAAATAGTTCAATTTCTAACTGCTCAAGTCACATGATTAGAGATGCTCGAGTACCGGTACTGGCAACCTAGTACCACCAGTATTGTTGCAAAACCTGGCCAAAATGTTATCAGATAACATGGTTAAATTGTAGGGAGAATTAAAGGACATTTGTAAAAATATTTCACAATCATGCATTAGTTGGGTATGCCCCACTTGGAAGCTTTTGCCATTCACCTGAATACCAAACTACATATGTTCTGGTACCCTGTTCCACATCCTCTGATGTAGCAGTAGATTCTTTCAGTTAGGATTGGACAGACCTCTACATTTCTGCTTATCCTCAGGGTCGTGTCCATCACCCAAGCCACTCCATGTCAAGTCCTTCTTGTGGCTCTGTTTTGGCCTGCTCAGGTCTGATTGTCACTGCCATTACCTTTTTTTCTCTCCCTGTCTTTCCTTCATTAGCCTCAATCATCCATGTTTCACCTATCCATTCCCACACTCCAACTTCATGTGTGGCTTTTGTCTGGTCCTTTGCAAGGAGACTTTTCCCCTGTTGCCCTTACCACTTGGATTTTCCAACTTATTCATTTGGTTTATTCTTCTCTATCCTCTGATGGCCGTCACTTTTTCTGTGTTCCCTATCACCAGATATGCCATCTTACCATATCCCTGGCTGCTCATTTTTATCATTTGCCTCCTGTTGCCATGTTACAATCCTTGGTTCAACAATAAGTGGGTAAGTTTCCTTTTCTTATATTTTTACTTTGCAGTGACTTATTTTTGCTTCTTGTTGGATCCTGCTCTGTGGTGATTGGTGCCTCTCCAGGTATACTAATATTTAAATCCACACTGTATGGCCTCTGAGGTCTGGATGTTGATTCCTGGTTATGCTGATGTTTGTTGGATCTGGACTGACCAACATAAGTCCTCACACATATGGTTGGGCTAGGACCCTCCTCCTACCACATACTGGATAATATTTCCCAATGCCTCATTGCATTCCACCTTCCTGCCATCACCTGGTTGTCAGATTCCTGGGGGGCTGGTTTTAGTTGTGTACTAGGTCTGCACACATGTGCCAGCTTTGGTTTTTGGAATGAAAGTCTTCTTTCTCTTCTGGTTCCTGGTCCTAAGGTGAAGATTATATGAATCCTTCTCCAATGATGGCCAAGATGTTCCAATTCCTGTGCTGCTGGTTTTGGGCTGGAGTTGATCCACCAGTTATGGTCTAACATGCCCTAGCTACTTTGCACCACTAGCCCATCCATGTGGTTATCAGATGTGCCTCTTTCTGTCCAGTTGGAGACGCATTCATTCTTCAAGGGCAGTGAGTATATGTGGTTCAGATGTGGTGTGGTCTCCCACTTGGGTATTTCCTCTTCAATGAGGGTTCTCTTCAGATGCATTCTGAAGGGTGCTTTTCTTGGTATTTTTGTACTGGTATCTCCACCAGGTCAGTGGGATTCTAGCTATTATGTGAGAGGAGGTAAGGTATTGTATCAGAAGTTAACATTTTCCTCCACTGAAAATTTATATCTCTTCTTACACTTCCCACCCTTCTTTCCCACTTCTGGTGCTTCTTGGTGCCTAATTTTGAAGTGAAGATTCGGTTCTACAGCATAGAGATAGTCAACTGCACTAGGAGGACGTGTCACACCTATTTGTGGAGGGTTGTTACGTGCTTATTTGCACGCTACAGTGCAGCTGTACCACATCAAAACATGTGGAGGTAGGTGGGAGTATCAAGGCTAGTAGGAAGTGAAAATTGCACATATAGAAGGTAGTAATAATCAAGAAAAGCTATTATTTTCAATGTAGGAAAATGTTAACTTCTGATTTACTGCCCAAAATTTATTCAAAATTATTAAAGTTCAGTATATCAGAATTCAGTGCTGCTTGTATCATTGATTATTTCAAACAAAGTTTACAGGGAACCCCTAAATCATATCATGTTGTACAAGAATATGAGCCACCACTTGAAATAGGCTTGCCTCTTCCCAGAAGATCATACTAAAGGACGAAATGATAATAGTTACTAGCTACTGATTTCTGCAACTTTACCTGAGTGAATGAATTAGTTCACTTTTAGAACATTTTGACAACAAGAATGTCCTATTACATGCAGAACACCTGCACAAAAATGTAGAAAATTTACATGAATATATCTGACTAAAGATATATTTTTAATTAATTATGGAAGGATGAAATTCATGAATATTTCAGTTATTGCAACTCAAAATGATAATTTTTATTACTTGTTTATGATTTATTTGTCATACTATGTTCATGTGTGCCAGAACATTAGGAGGCTTTGTAGCAACATTTGGAAATACAGCCTCAGTGGTTTTAAAGATGTTTTAAGGGAAATTCTTTTAATTATCTCTCTTATTCAGGAAAAATTGGTTTGTGATGAGGACTGACTGAAATATCCTGTCAGCTTTTGGACAAAATTTTCATTCTTCCTTATACTTCTTTTGTGCCCCCCAGTAGCACAGCTGTATGTCTGCAGACTTATAACGCTAGAATCCGGGTTTCGATACCCATGGTGGTAAGAGCACAGATAGCCCATTGTGTAGCTTTATGCTTAACTTGAAACAAACAAACAAACTTCTTTTGTATGTTATTCAATCTCTTTCCTAAATACTTCATATAATTTGAAATGTAGCAGTCTGCATGATTGGTGAGGAACCAACATATATTCAACCCCAGGTTTTTTTTGCTGATGCTGTGATACTCACTATGGACTTCTAAATCTTGAACAAGTCCAATGTAAGTGCAAACTTGAGACAATGGCTGCTGGAGCAACAGTAAAAATTATTTACTTACATTTACTCTTAGCAGACTACAAGGTGCTTTTGTGTGAGGGTGCTAATGCCAGAACAGGTAATCACTATGAGTAGTTTATTCTATCCATGGAAGAACTAATGGATAATGAGGTCTGCATTTTCTTTCTTCTCTGAAAAGGTGTAATAAAAACAGTACCTACTCATGTAATAATCCCAAAGAAAAGTGTCATTTTGAGCTTCCTTGTGGTATTTCTTTAAACAAAGTAAACTGTAGTGTGATGAGGCTAGTCACTGAACAAGTCTCCCTAGGTTTTATGAATATCACCATTCTTAGTAACTACTTGTCTTGTTACCATCTGATGCTTTTCTACAGGTAAATCATTTTTCTGAAAATGCTTATTATTTCAGAAGAAACAAAGTTTATCTTGTTACATTTATAGCTCTTTACACTAAAAACAGCACTTCCATTTCAAATGTGCAGAAACTCTGGGGGTACTGTGCATACATATTTCAAATTTTAACTTGTCCAAAGTCTTCAGTCTTCGTAAACTCCATCCAGGAAGTTTTGATAGTTGAAAGCTGAATGAATATCACTTATGCATACAAGTATCTTTGGAATCTTCAGATTGTTTCTACTCCAGTCTTCTTTAGAAAACAAGTATTTCTGTTTGAGACATTTCATCATTGAATGTATATTTGTCATTAAGTTACATATTGTGCTGTAAATTGTGGTAGAACTAGTTATATTTGATTAATGAGAACACTGCACTTCACTATAATATCCCAGATCAAAAACTTCATAGGACATAATATGACCTGTGACTAAACTAAATCCATATAAATAATAGAAAGAAAGTTACCAATACATTTGAACTATTCATTGCTCAGTTGTCCCTCCAGGCCTTTTATAGGCGATAATTTTTCTTATGAACAGTTTATATTTCTAGCATGATGATTTCCAATAGTTCTAAATTTTTTTTCCCTAAAAATCAGCCATGCTTTGGAGTAAAGCCAGAATCTCCAAATTGTAAAAATAATACTTGGGCTTTCTATGATCTGCCTCATAATGATATTTCTGTTATTTCCAGCCATTAAAATCCACTGGTTAGAAAAATATTTACTTGAATAACTATGTTGTACTATTACGACTTCAAAGTAATATAATTTGAGGTCTGGCTTGTAAGTTAACTTGATCCCATATTTATCAAAATCACTAGAAATAACTTGTAGTTCTCTCTTGATGTATTTGGTATTGGTCTTTTATCTTTTCTGAGGACTACAGTAATCATATCATGCAGTATTATAAAGATGGTATATGCCTGTGTTTATTTTTTTGTCATGTAACTAACTAAATACATTGATTTTACCAAAGTGTTCACCTAGTTCACCAAAAACATTTTTACTTTACTTGAGACAATAAGTTCAGTTTTGATTTGTTTCTTTGCATTTGAGGATATATTTCTGCAATTATTTTATGTAATATCCTATTATAATTGAATTATTGTTATTTAGTAAATGCCTTGAGTTTGAAATTTAACTTGTTGGTCATAGTAGGCCTTGTATTAGGTCATCAAGAAATTAATGTCACTTTTTTTAGATCAAAAAACCTGAACAACTTATATATCAAAACAAAACATTTATTAAATGAAATAGTCTTCATTCTTATCGATGATGGTTTTCCATCGTACAATTAGGTTGTTAATGCCCTGATTAAAGAAATTACTTGGCTTTGAAGCAAAAAACATGTCGATGCCCTCTTTAACACTTTCCATATTAAGATTTTTGGGGCTATATAATGTTATTTGGTAAATTATTTCTTCAGTAACGTTCTTTTCTAAATTTGTCAGTGTTCTAAAAACGTTTGCATGAATTTTAATGTAACAAAATAAGTTATAAATAATTTTAACCCTATATCTTTAGTATTATTTAGTAAATGTTTTGGATCTGTACTAACAAATAAAAAATATGTTAAAAACTAAACACAAATATAGTTGTTACATATAAAACATTCTTGATGTTCCTTTTAAGCTTCCAAACGACACTTTGAGATTGCTTTTAAAATGTTTGACCTGAATGGAGATGGAGAAGTAGATTTTGAAGAATTTGAAAAGGTGAGATTAAAATATTTTTTGTTTATATTTAGATATTATAGTATTAGTTTTAATTCATTAAATTTTCACTTGAGTATTTTTTAAATACAAGGTTATTACTACAAGACATAACCAGCACTTATCAGTAAAAACAACTTTAAGATTTTACATTTTTGCTTCATGTAATATTGTATTTTAAGTTTAAAATATTTAAAAGTAATGTGCTTATAAATGTATTTCTTTATTAAGCTATGAGAGAGTTGTCTACTTTTAGACCGTCCCTTGAGTTTGTGTATGTTTGGAGGGGGATGGAGTCTTGTGGTTTGTGTGAAATTGAGGAAAAAAATGGACTGACATTTTAAATTGTAGCAGATGATTGCATTGTTTCAATGGCAGTTGGAAAGCATATATTCAAGTTGACAATTAAAAAAAAAGTTATAGTGAAAATTATTAAAAACACTGAGTCTAGAGCCAAAGAAATTGACAACTGTTTTAAAAAATGGTTTTGATAGCTCTGGCTACAAAAAATAATGAAACTTTCAATAATAATTGGAAATCAGATTGATGAAAAAAATATATCACAGGTTCACTGGTTTTGTACCAGAAAAGGCAGTGTGTATGATTTGTGATGATTCTGTAAATCATGATTCATTTGTCAGGTATGAAGAACATGCCAGAAGAAAGAAACAGAGGACAAGTTGAAATTATGGTTATCCAATTATCCACTCAAATCTTTGTTTATATGGGGAAAATTGACTAGCTAACCATCTCAGTCCAATTCCCTATTTCAAATGTTCAGGCCAATACTAGCTGTGTAGAAGGAACAAGTTGAAGAAGTGACACTACTAAACATTTCTAATTGACTGACAGTTTTTATCTCTTTAAGCCATTAATGTGTTCTTCTAATTTATTGAAAATCCAGGAGCTTCAGGAACCTTTACCCCCTCTTGTCCCCACCAGACTCCATCCTGACCTTGTTGGAGGCTTGAGGTGCCCAGACCCATAACTTTTTTTTAGCATTTTTTCTCTCCTTATCGTTCTTGTGCTTGTATTATTACTAATATAAATGCCAGTTTCATGATTAATATTTGACTTAAAACTATGTGGAAAAAAATAAATAAATAAAAA